CATTAAATATATGGTCGAAAATATCATTCATAGCTCCCGAGCGCTTCACTAACTTACTATGATTATTTCTTACTGAAGAATTAATATCACTTCTTTTGCAATATATACTGTGAATGCAATTTCTGTAAATCAACACTCGTCTTCACACGATGTCAGATAAAATGTGTTTAATTACAACAGCAAGTCAAACGGTCAAACACATTATTTAAATCATTGATAACCTAACGACAGTGATCAAACAAGTATTTTTATATATCGATCGATCAAGTTTAATGACAAGTTTGCATCTCTCTAACGAATAAAACCATTTCTAGATCATAAGCCAACATTTTTTTAACGTTCAACACTGAAATCTCAAGTAACATTTTATGTAGTCGTACTGTGTGATTTTGTTCTTTATTTGCATCGTTTCCTTTTAGAGACTAAACTGCAGTCTACAATTAACCGTAAATGCGTAACAGGAAAAAGTTTGAAAATTTTACGGAACCATATTTTTAGTGCAATCGAATTTGATGAATATTGTTCGCTGCAACTATTTTATGTCAGTGTGGAGATAACATTACGACATACACAAGGGGTCACTCACATCTGATAATAGTTCACTTATTTTTGGGACTTTGTTTTCTTATACCGCTAACAATTGTTTTAAATATTTTGATTTAATAAGATTTCTATTCAAAATTATATAATTATCAGCCACGCTTTTAGGAGCAAGACAAGTGACATTTAAATGTTTCTTGTAGCCTGGGGACCGTTATCGAGTATCCCAATTAACATAGTAAATAATACTCTGTACATTGCAGCTGGTATCTGTTAATGCTATATAGCTTAATGTCAGAAGATAAAATCAGAATGTTCCGAAAATCACCCTAAGTTAAAAGAAAAATGTTACCCGTATTAATATTATTATCAAATGTTTGATGTAAGGCTGTCGTATTTGTTACGCATACGTATTCCTGTTTCTTGACCTCGCCATTTGACGTCTTATTTTAGTTTATAATGTTATCAACAAATTATGTAAATATACAGCTGTTCTAATTGCGTCACAAGACAAATATCTTACTAGTTCAAAGACTGTACTGGTGAAAAATATTGCTACTATCTACAAAGATAGTAGCAATAAGTTTAAGGGTCTTACCACAAGGTAAGACCCTTAAACGTATCCTATGTTTTGTAAGCGCACCCCTCAAGGAGACGTTAACGCAAATTTCATCGGCAGTATCAGTATTTTGTCGACACCGCCTAGTATCCGCCGCGTCACGTCAGCGGTGATAGGTCACTCTTGTGGTAATCGCCTGTAAAAACTTAGGAAAACCAGCGATCGCGTTACATAAATTTCTCCAGTTCGTATAAAACGACAATTCAATTTAAACTTTTTAGTATCGTGATAGAAATCGGTGCTTTATTTCCAAAGAAGAATTATGTATCTTCAATTGCTCCAAGTTCTTGTTGAAGTCGTTACAAAGTACTAGTATACAATCAATGTAGTTCACCTCTATCTAGGATTTATTATAATAATATGTTTTTGAAAATTCTATTATTTCGCTCACTGCGTGATCTTTATTTCAATTTGTATAATACGAGTACCGTTTGCAGCTGCAAGCAAATGCTTAAAGTCATTAATATACGCTTAGTAAATATTTAATTCACTTTTGGTACGAGTATAAATAGTAAATGTGTGTAATGTTGATGAGCCGCCGACACATTTGTATATCAACAAAGTATTAGAATTACTTTGTAAAATGTTCTTATTCAATATATTGTTTGTAATTTGTAGCACTTCGAGTGGTCTCACAGCGTGCAGTCCATGATCTTGTCGTCATTCTTCTGGGGCTACGTGGTGCTGCAGCTGCCAGCGGGCGAGCTGGCCAGACGCGTCGGCGGCAAGGTCCTCATGACCATCGCTGTCTCCGTTAACTCTCTTCTATCTCTGCTTATGCCTACTGCTGCTAAAATCGTAAGTACTTGTACCGCAACACGCTATTTCTCGTTTCTATATACTATATGCATTTGGTATGGTACAGGGAGGTTGGCAGCTGGTGTGCGCGTGCCGCGTGATGCAGGGTCTCACTCAGGGCTTCATCTACCCCTCCATGCATCATCTCGTCAGTCAGTGGATCCCCCTGGAGGAGAACGGACTTCTCAGCACTATTATTTATGCAGGTAAATTTATGGTACGATTTTATTGTTGCCTCAATATTTGGCTTTAACTTTTGCCAAAAATTCAGATATACCAAAGTTAATGATTTAAAATTTATATATGTATACAATACTATATAAATTACTTTTAGGTGGTCAACTTGGAATAGCGTTTCAGTTGATTATATCAGGCTTCATAGCGGCGGCGTGGGGCTGGCAGGCGATATTTTACACGAACGCAGTACTCGGACTCATATGGACCGTAGTTTATATAATATTTGGATCTTCATCGCCCGAACAATCGAAAATTGTGTCGAAAGAAGAATTAAAATACATACAAAGATCTTTGGGACGAGTCGACAACCAAAAGGTAAAAACCAGGTTGTACTATAGAGTAAAATGGACATAAAAAAAGCAACAGATATTTTTATTTACAAAATAATGTAGACTAACAATGCGCATTTAATAGAATTATAGAAAACGGACGTGACTTATAATGTGTTATATGAATTCAGGTCATTCAATAAATCTGCGCCAGGACGTCACCAAATGTAAATCAGTATCGCTATGAACACCTTAAGGCCAGGCTTGAGGACATATATATTTTTTTAATTTGCATAATATGTTTTTCCAGCGGCAACCGTCGCCGTGGTCAAAGATAGTGACCAGCCTACCTCTGTGGGCGGCGGTGGTGGCCCACTGCGGACAGAACTGGGGCTTCTTCACGCTCATGACCGAGATGCCCACATACATGGCCAAAGTGTTGGATGTCAAGTTGCAGGACGTGGGTATATCAATTTGTGTCGAAAGAACTCTAGCAAAAAGTGGTAATAGAATGCAACGATGACAATTGAACGTTTGCAGAATGGTGTATTGTCGTCGCTACCCTACCTGGCGATGTACCTACTGAGCTTCCCCATGGGCGCCATGACAGACCTCATCATCCGGCGCGGCTGGCTCAGCACCAGCAACACCAGGAGACTATTCAATACTATCGGTTAGTCTCTTTTTATCTACATCACTAATACTAGCTACCTTTACGCTCAAGACATATGTCAATGGCCTAGTGCTTACTGAAGCTGTCTTATTTATAATTTATAGGTCTTTGGGGTCCGGCCATTGCGCTTATTGGCCTGTCTTACGTTCCCGAGCGTAACACTTGGTTTGCTGTCACAATGTTAACTGTCAGTGTGGGGATAAACGCCGGACAGTATGCTGGCTATTTGGTTAGTAACTGTTTTTGTATGTAATTAATCACTACAAGTGAGAAGTTTCACCACTGTAAGCCGAAACTGTAAATTTATAACTAAAATAAGCAGTAGTCAGATAAAGAATATATTAAAAATCGTAGTTTGTTTCTGGAGTTCTATTTAGTTTTTATCTTCGCCAGTTAATCATTGTTATGGACCACAACAATTAGCAGATATATAAAATGAGTTTGTTTTATTGCAGCTGGTGATAATAGACTTGGCGCCGAACTTCAGCGGCTCAATGATGGGAATATCCAACTTCTTTGCTAACGTTATCTCAATCATAGCGCCCCTCGTCTGCGGATTTATCATTGACGATGAGGTAAAGGACATACATATTTATTGACAAATTAAAAAGAAAACAAACTATTAAGTTATATCCCCAGTACAAAAACCAACTTATGTTAGCATCGGAATGATTATTGACCTGACACTTAATTTTTGTATTCTATTGCTGGTTTTTCAGTTGGATAATATTTTGAATGTCTAGCAAATATCAATGTAACTAATAGCGAACTATTAATTATGCAGTAAATTTGAAATGGAACTATAATTTTGGTGCAGGATTAATATGTATGAAATGGATGATAAGTTTACGTTGTGTTGCAGACGTCGGCGGCGGAGTGGCGGAAGGTGTTCTTCCTCGCCTCGGGAGTGTATTTCTTCACAAATCTTTTCTTTTTAATATTTATGACTTCGAGAAGGCAGCCGTGGAACGAACATAAGAAAGAAACCGATATCGGTGCGTTATTGAATTTTTATGTGATCCGAAGAAAATACGGACTTACTTATTAATATTTTCTCCTTTGTTACAGAAATAAAAGCTACGACTCACTGAAGTAACACCGCTCTCTAACTCACATCGTTTTTATTTATTTCTGTACCTGAAATAACAAAAGATTGTATATACTTAAATATAATAAAAATAATACTGGACTCTTTTTGTTTTCTTAATTAAACATTACCTTTTAAAATAAAAATAAAGGATTTAACTTTGAATTTTAATAATCACCTCGTAAATAGTTTTGGTGTAGCTTGTAAACCGTTCAATGACAACAGAGATGTGATCGGACACGTGAATTATATTTGAACAGTAATAATCCAAACATGACAGGCATTTAGCATATCTGTATGAATGAAATAACAGACTCATGTAACGGAAGGCTCATATTCATTTGCTTTATTATCTAAATATATTTCTCTCAAAGCACGACATCGCGTTGTCGTAACATAATCTATAATATTCTTATGTACTTTGCTTAGAATTATATGGTATGGTGTGGTAATGAAATAACAGAATATTATTTTAAAATAATGCTTTTGTGCGTCAACATCTTGTAATAAACACTATAACTGACGAACCAAATTATTTGACGAAGTTAACATAACATTACAACTTTTTGAGTAGTTTGATTTAAAATATTAGCAAAACAGTGCACTCAGTTAATAATATGTTTTTGTAATGACGTATGACAGTATAAAAATATATCATATAATAATGGATATTATTTGCGATTAAGATCTAACAAAAGTTGCAATGACGTGAGAGGAGAGACGTACATACGGCGACAGATCGCAAAAACATCACACATCGAATTAATATCTCACATAAATATCGCTCACAAAACAATTCAAGATAAACATTGACAGATTGTGATATGTTGTAGTGTAAAAAGCTATTTGATGGAATCTCTAGTTGTTGTCGGACATTTAAGAGATCGATACATCGCTTGGAATCTTACTCGGAGCGGACAAGTGACGCGAATAAGATTCCGCTGATGAAATAAACACGCAGCCACACATCGACATGGGCAAAATAACTGAAGCTGAAAATGTTCCTCCAAGTAAGTTTATCCAAATAGATTTCATTTAATGTACTTTAATATTTTCAAATGAGTTCCCATCTTGATTTAGTAAATAGTGATTAAAATAATTTTAAACAGTAACAGATTTGAAATAAAATTAATTAAAGACGTACCCGTCAAGCACTTAAAAGCCTATCGTTCTGACACTGTTTTTTTTTTTGCTTTCCGACATCATTAAAACAGGTTCAAGTAAAAGGAAAAAGCTCAGTTCTTCAGTCTCTTTTTAGTGGGGCTCTACCTTGTGCTTGCCTGAATTTAGTGGACTGCAAGCAATTCAGTTTATCAACGTGGAATTTATTTATCTATGAATGGTGTTACTCTCTTGCAATCCTTGTCGATAAAAATATATTCTGCAGATAAAAGTAGTGATATCAATCGACAATGAAATTCGGATGTCATGTGTGTGTCGTAACGTTTTGTACTGTGGATGCATCTAATAATCAAAAACAATAAAGGGGTTAGGAGCCGATTTGTTTTAGCAATGTCAATATTTTTACAAAAGTAGACATGATTATCAAGGTTGCAAAAAGGCGTAATGCTTCACACCCAGTAAATAAATTGAGTAATTTCAATGCAATTCTACAGGGATGCCTCTTTCGTGTAACATTCCGTCCATACGAACATGAGAAAACAAAAGGGATGTTTAACAATGCCCCGGTCTATTGTAATCCCGCATATACAATATCTATTCAGCGTCTAGTTCGTTCAGGGGAGGAAGATAAATTTAGTTGATCTAGCAACCAAATATATACAGTTTTCGTTACAATATAAAGAAGATACATTATTCTCTAATACATAATTATGTTTACTTATGGTGATTAAGTGAGTTGAGGATTGAATAGTCGTTAACTTATCTGATTTACAAACACAAACACAAACAAAATGCGGTTACAATTTAGATCAGTTATATGAAGCAAGTGCGAGAGTGACAAGTCTGTGAGATATTGCACGATGTGTGAACACGAAATTAATGAAATAACCCCCTTACTACCGATACAATCAAATCGTTCACACTTTGATGGCAGTCTTCGAGGTATGTACGTACACTGCAGTAAACATTGGCAAATGTTACATAGCAACTGCTGTAGTATTATTGTATTCACTCATATACTAAATCCAAAGAATATGGAGTGGACATTACAATTTTGCTTAAATATTTTAAGCATAATAATCGTCAGTACTACTGTTATTAGTGTCGAACTAGATAAAGGGAACTCTACCAGTAGTAGAGTTTTTTCGAGCGTAGGGTTCGACTTGTAGTGTCCTGTCTATTGATGAATAGCTATATGTTGAATGTCTTTTACTAAATAATTAGCTAAATGCAATGATATTGACATCCGCAGGAGGTCTGGGCATGCGTCACCTGCAGACGTTCCTACTGTTCCTGGCGCTGTGTCTTGTGTACAGCATGCGCGTCAACATCAGCATGGCCATCGTCGACATGACCGACATTACCAAGGAAGACGTAAGTTCTCATCTCATTATCTTATACAGCTTTTGATACACGATATTGCTATGGTTGTTAATCCACAATCCACATGATTTCGTTTTTCGATCACGTTTCTTTCACACGTTGTGCAGATTAATCTGGCGATCATGATCTCGATCAAATGCAGTTTATTTCACAGATTGATTATTATTGACAGCCTAGTTATCTGTTAAATCTTTGATGTGACTGTCTCTGTTATTTAATCTTACTGCTAATCTTATAAAGATACATTTGTCAGGAATTATCAAATAATCTACTTTTTTGCGTACAAGAGTTGCAATGACGAATATTATAGTGACGATGGCTCAAATTGATTGCAATATATTAGGTGGTCTTTCCTCACACAAACACATCAGAATATCTATGCAAAGTTTAAGCAGATTGTGTTATGTACTAAAATGAAAAAACAACTGTTTTTTTAGTCGACTTTGCATATCGGGACAATTATGTCACACAAATAATTATGTTGATGTAAAGTTACTCAATGCAATTAAACAATTGCAGATATAGAGCTCGGTATCTTTGACATTAACGTATCAGAAGCAATGACCGCAGCGCGAGTGTCGGCGAGTGGGGGCTCGCTCGCTTGTTCGCTCAGGTCATACGCTGATTTATCTCTGTTCACCTTATTTATTGCATTCATAAAATTTCCTACAGTGGAAATATTCATGTTCGGCACAACTAAGTTCTATTTTACTTACAAATGTACCAAGAAATTTAGTACAGCCACAAACAGCGAAGAAAAATTCATTAAATGACAAAAACGTAAATTATTAGTTGTTCATAATATTATAACAATAACCATTGGGGAAAAACCAATATTATTGAGATTACAAACGTGATGTGACATTGTCTACGCGTAAAATTATAGAAATTCTAATCCAAGATATTATAAAGCATATATTTCAAATGTTGTTTACTTTACGCATATTTTAAGGTGTGATTAAATGAAATAAAAATCTGCAAAAGCACACCCAAGTATTATAGTGTAGTATGAAATATGGGATGTTGCGTTCTCTTTCAGCACTTCGAGTGGAGCTACAGCATGCAGTCGATGATCCTCTCGTCGTTCTTCTGGGGCTATGTGCTGCTGATGCTGCCCTCTGGTGAGCTGGCCAAGCGCTTCGGCGGCAAAGCGCTCATCACCGTCTCCGTGGGTGTTAACGCGCTCGTTTCTCTGATTTTGCCAACTGCTGCTTATTATGTAAGTTTGCTGTATACTGATTTCAGATATTTGGTTCAGATTAAACCGCCGAAAAACTATGCTGCTGACCCTCCCTTCGTGAAGTAAAGGTTAAAATTTATGTGTGTTGCAGGGCGGCTGGAAGTTTGTGGTGGTATGTCGTATTCTGCAGGGGATGTCACAGTCATTTGTATTCCCCTCTATGCACCACCTCGTCAGTCAGTGGATACCGCTCGAGGAGAAGGGCAGACTCAGCACTATCATATATGCTGGTATGTGTATTATACTTGTAATTAATTAGTACCAAGTTCTCATCGATCATGTGACGTCAATGTTGCTCGTTCAACAGGCAGTCAGTTGGGCGTAGCCATCCAGCTCATCTCGTCAGGGTTCATAGCATCTGCGTGGGGCTGGAAGGCGATATTCTACACAAATGGGCTGCTGGGCGGCCTGTGGACCGCTGCATATGTCTTCCTCGGCGCCGCCTCGCCCGAGCAGTCCAAAATGATCTCACAACATGAACTCAAATATATACAAACGTCTTTAGGGCGAACTGAAGAACAAAAGGTAATTACATATTGAGTAACTATTTTTGTCTAAAATTGTAAAACAGCATTATCCTACGTCATCTGTTTATAGCAATATTCTGGCATATCTTCTAACGTCCAAGTGGTGGCCAAATGCTTGAATCAGTTAATACAATTTGAGGTAATTCGGTGATTTTGCCGGCGCGACGTCTGACAACAAGTGCGTGCTCTCATTAGCAAGTGTAATGTCTAGCACCTGAATTATTCATGGAGGGGAATAGCAAAATAGCTCATTACTGCTCCCTTACGCTGGAAAGATTCCTTATTACACTTATCTCGGCGCCGGGAAAAAGGATTTTTGATGAAGCGAAATACATTTGTAAAATTTAACATTTGCATAAGAAATTTTTGTGACGATCTCTCCTCCAGTCTCGAGCTGTGAGCGAGGATCACATTAAGATAAATATAATGAAATAAGAATTTGTATTCTTTCAAATATTTTTATTCAGGTACTTTAATGAAGTCAAACGATTCTTTGCTAGCAAATTAACATGGAATTGAATAATATCTTACGTTTTATGAATTAAGTATATTTGTAATTTGCACAATATATAAATGAAGTATTTGCTATATCAGAAACACCGCACTCCATGGCCGAAGATCGTGACGTGCTTCCCGTTCTGGGCGGCCGTGGTGGCGCACTGCGGACAGAACTGGGGCTTCTTCACGCTCATGACGGAGATGCCCACGTACATGGCCAAAGTGCTGAATGTCAACCTGAAACAGGTTTGTATTATAAAGGCGTATCATTTTAAAGTGGTCTCTGTCTCGTGGTTAAAATTTAATTTGGTGAAGTTTAAGATAAGCAGCAATTTGATGTTGATTTCATATTGATTCAATAATAAAAATATACGTATTTATTATATATATTGATATTATGTGTAATGTTAGGGCATTGAATCTAATATAATCAGCGTAAAGGAGAGTATCATAAACGCTACCCTAAATATTTCTGATTCTCATTTAAATTGGTTTACTTCAATATAATGGTAGAACGGCGTGCTGTCGTCTCTGCCGTACCTGGCCATGTACCTGCTGAGCTTCCCCGTGGGCTTCCTCACCGACTTACTGATCAGGCGCCGCTGGCTCAGCATTACCAACACCAGGAAGTTGGCCAATTCTATAGGTTACTTTATCATTAATATTGCTTAATCGTATAAAAGCAAAGTGATGAATACAGATTATGCTTTCTTTTTACAATTTCATCCTCTTTTATAACTACATTTTAATAATTTTGCAAAATTTTGTAGGTCTTTGGGGTCCGGCTCTGGCCCTAATCGGTCTCTCGTACGCGCCCGAGGGCAACATGGTGGTATCCGTGCTCATGCTGACCTTGACGCTGGGTATCAACGCGGGTCACTTTACAGGCTACATGGTGAGTGTTCGCGTATTGAGGTAATCATGGTTAAACTAATCGAAACAGGAGGAGGATGCAATAGCATGAAATTTTCCTTCTTTCCTTGCATCCTCCTCTAAGGAAATATATAAGGAATGTTAGATATTTTTATAAAAGAAGGAGTCGAACGAGCAGCGGTGTTAAGTGATCGAACTGAACGTTCACGAAACGCAGCTGGGTTGCCGGCCAAGGGACTAGCAAACATTTAAAAAATTTCATTGATTGAGAAAGAGGAAAAAATGACATACTACACATTTTTACTTCATATTTTAAGTAAACGATTTTTTTTTCCAGTTAATTTTGGTGGACTTGGCGCCAAATTTCAGTTCGTCTCTGATGGCCATCTCGAACTTCTTCGCTAACATAATATCTATCATAGCGCCCTTAATTTGCGGTGTCATTATACAGGATGAGGTAATTTCATAAAAATATTATAAATCTCTTTACATATTGAAGAGCAGCTTATGTTCATTCACCTATTTTATTACTTTCCTCTATCGTGAAAACATTGAATTTCATTTGACATTTTTTTTATAAAATATCAGCTCGCTGTTCAAAATTTACTATTTATTATTGTAGGTATTCCAAGTAAGCTTAGGCTACTTGTGATTAATAATTCTTCTTGTTGTATGAGACAAAAACATTTTCTCAGTTTAAATAACCAAAGAATTGGTACAACTGAGCAGATTTGCTTTATCTGCTTCAAATATATTGACAGATGAAAGGTTGTTTTTGTATACGTAGCGTTTGTTCTGTTAACGTTAAGTTCTTAAAACCAAATTGTTAATTAATATAATTCAATTACAGACAGACCCAGCGGAGTGGCGGAAGGTGTTCTTTTTAGCGTCGGGCATTTACTTCTGTACAAATCTGTGTTTCGTTCTGTTCACGACGTCCAACAAACAGCCCTGGAACGACCCAGAGGAAAATCTTTCCGGTTTGTTTTATTAAAAATTATCATACACGATTTTTAAGTTATTAAATTTTCGAGCTTTTTAACACAGGTAGTTGTCAGATATCGATCATTTTGGAGTTGAATCCAAATATGAATAATCTTAGAATGAAAGGAAAAAATAAGCTTGGTAAGGGTTAGTGGCTTTTCAAAATTATTATAAGTAAATAACTATTAAATGTATATAAATACTGAATTTACTGAATAAACTAACTGAAATTAGGTTTACGAATAAATTATCCGATTTGATATAAAAGTTTTTTTTTAAATTTTTGTTTCAGAGGAGAACGCAGAAAAACCAGTCGAAAAATAATACTTCGGAGCGTACGACTGACGTGTGTTTTGTACCTGAACTATTGTAAAATACACTTATAATATGTACGAATTATTTAAATTATAAGAAAAAAATAATAAAAGATTAAAGACTTATAAAGTTGTTTTTTTATTGTGATACTATAGAAATTAATCAAATATTGCAGCTTATTATTAATATAACAGGCACAGATTGTGTAACAACTGCTAAAAACCTTTAATTAGAATTAGATTTAATAAGAGTAGGAAGGGGAAGAGGACTCAAAATTTTTCCTAAGATAAAAGTCCGATAAACGTGCGTTTCCATGATGTATGATTTGCGCATTAACACGGACGGTCGATGAGCTGTATCGAGGGTGCGGTGCAGAGCAGTGCGACAGTATGTATGATGACAAAAACCTATCGCGTCTCTTAAAGGTTAATATTTACACCCGATAATCGCTAGCTATTCTTTGATCAATAATTGGCTTCTATCAGCGACTATCTAGCCTATTCAAACCAAGCTAATGTTCTGATCAGCTGTCTTCTGTCAGCTAGAAAGTTAGACATCTTCGCATGGGCCACCGGTCACACTTACATTACTTTACGTGTAAATTCCTATTTAGCCCAAAATTAAGTAGGAAAAAAAGCTAATCTTTTATATTTGAAGTACAACAAGAAGGTTTTACAGAACTGTACAAGCTCTCAAACCACTTAAAAGTTTTTCAATGTATTGTACTTGCATATGAATCCAGCAGTTACGCAGAAAGAAGGGAATATGATAAGATATTGTAATGTAACAGATATAAATATTGACTAAATCTGTGAGATAAACTGTGTCGTCACTCAGATCAATTTATAAATTAACGTAGACCGACTTTTATTCTAAAGTACAGCGCTGTCGGCGACCGGCGACCGGCGACCACTGCTTTACTAAATACTTTTTACTTATTCAGAAACAAAAATATATATAGAGGGGCATAAAATGGGGAAAATTGTTGAAGATCGAATTGTAGCCTCACGTGAGTTTATAGCTTCGTTTTTTTTTTAATTTATAAAATATTTTAATACACCACTCCATAGCCATGTCACTCTGGTTAGGTATTTTACTAATTAGGAAGTTAAATGTAATGTGTATTGTCAGCGGGGCTGGGCACGCGGCACACGCAGACACTGCTGCTGTTCCTGTCCATGCTGCTGCTGTACTGCATGCGAGTCAACATCAGCCTCGCCATCGTCGACATGACCGACACCAACAAAGAGGACGTCAGTTACATCATATCTACACCTTATTATTTCTTCTTCATTTTGGTGGTTAATTAATTGGAGGACCACAAACATTCACAATATCCAATTTGCGCGGAAACGCGGTTCGCTTTTAGGTGCTCTTTTTCTCAAAAGAGTATAAATTGTAATAGCAAACATCGCTTAAGATAATATCACAATGCTTTTGTGTAAAGTACGTTAGGAAATTTTCACCGAAATATAGAATTAAGGGAAATTTAAAACTCTGTCGAATAATACCGAAATTCACTTCCATAGCAAATTATCCTGTACCTTTCCAATATAAATGTATAATTTATCTCAAGTTTGATGTATTGTTAAGCACTTCGAATGGAGTCACAGCGTGCAGTCTAAGATCCTGTCATCGTTCTTCTGGGGCTACATAATGCTGCAGATTCCCGCGGGAGAGCTGTCTCGCCGCTATGGCGGGAAGATTCTCCTTACCATATCCATGACCGTCAATGCTGCAGTCTCTTTGTTACTGCCACTAGCTGCCAAGCTCGTAAGTAGCAATTGTTTTCTTTCAACGCTCCGAGGATTTAAGTAAAGATTTTTAACCAAAAATTACAATTAAACAATTAAATTTGTCACTTTGAAGTTCACATCTATTTGACATAGAATTCAAAAAGGTACCAACAGCATTGAATGAATACATACTTTCTATTATCCTGGAGATCGTTACCGGACATTAGTCCTTAGAAGTAAACATCAACTTTATTTCACTAAATACTAATACATTTATTTTGTCAAGAAATATTGTTATCTTCTATTTTCTATTTTAGCCAAGTTTTAAAACTAAAGAGTATTAATAGTTAAAATAATTATAGGGTGGTTGGAAGTTGATCTGCGCATGCCGCATGCTGCAGGGTTTCTCGCAGGCGTTCCTGTTTCCCGCCACGCACCATCTCGTCACACAGTGGATACCTTCCGAGGAGAGGGGCCGCCTCTGTAACGTCATCTATGCAGGTCAGCTTCTGCATACACATTGCTTAGACTTTATTCATTTCTAACACTTTTGTTTCGTAATGTCCAGCTGAGTTTCGTAGTTTTTATTTTAGGTTACAATCTTAATTATTTAAGTATCAATAAAATAAAAAATGAATCAGTTTTAATATTTAATTAAGTTATTTACTAATTACGAGTATAATAAAATATTTTAGGTGGGAAGCTTGGAGTAGCTCTGCAGCTGATATCTTCGGGATTCATAGCCTCAGCTTGGGGCTGGGAGGCTATTTTCTACACAAACGCGTTGCTCGGTGCGATCTGGGTCGTCTGCTACTTGATGTTCGGCTCTGCCTCGCCAGAGACCAGCAAATCCATCTCAGCCAATGAACAAATATATTCAGGTGTCATTGGGAAGAGTAGGAGAACAAAAGGTTTGCTTTATTTTTGTTTAATAACGCAAATGGGTACAGACATAGGGAAGGACCATTTCATTCTCCTCGGTATTGAAACTTGTATATTCCGTTATTTTTGTTCAATTTGATGAAACTTGTATAGACTGGTCAGTACTCGGTAGTAACGTTGGTACCTATCTGAGTATGCCAAAGTTTTCTAACAAAAATTGACACTTATTGGAATACATAATTGATGATGAAGGATATCTCGACAGTTGTGCACGCGCTAAATCGATTGATAAGGTTAGTAACGCAATTGTCTAACCTAACTTACGTCAAAATATAAGAAAACGATTCCTGTTTATAGCTGACAAGAGATAAGCTACATCGTCGGACATTATCAGTCACGCGAGAGATGTCCACTGTTCCGTACTACGGCACAACCGGCGGGGAAGCAGCGCGGGGGTCCCTTCCAGACCTCACCCGCCGCCCCGCGCGCCCTCACACCGCGACCTTCAGTTGCGCTTCAGCACTCCGCGCGCCGACACATCAATCATATTTGTCTATTTTGTACATCTTTTATTCTTATTACAATCATCAGCAACCTACCAGCCTTTCATTACAACATACAGTCCACTCGCACAACATATGGTCCTTCAACCGGCAAAAAAGGAATCATCATCATCACCATCAAAATAAGGAAGACGACATTATTTGTGAGTCCGTTCCATATTCCTTTCTTTTTATTTCCTTTTTTTGACCCTTTTGTACGAGACAATTTTTTTCTTTCATTTTACATTTCACATTCCATCTTATTACTTCTTGTAAACTCGGTAGTTATTTGTCGCATAGTCGGCGCGCGCGCAGCCATTGCATGCGACCTTTAGACCCTTGCAAATTTCAATATACCGAGCACAAGTCATTTTTTCGAAAACATTCGATTCTTTTTATTACAATGATTTATACTCAAAGCAAATACCTAATCAAACTTATAAAATCATTCAAACATACATTCTTACATTTTCATCATACATTCTTTAACACATTTAGGCAATATCAACATACATATTTACACAAAATACCTACATACATTCTTAAATTTTCATCGTACATTCTTTAACACATTCATAGACTGCCTCTTAGATCGGTCAGCCGACCTCTTCTCACATTTCGACACCACTATACATATTAGTCGGTGCAGATGTGTCCTGGGAAGTCATGTTTTCCAGGTTGGGTGAGCAACATCAAGTTGCAACATATTTCTCGGTTGACTTGTATCTGGCACGTTTATGGATCTTTATACAGCAGCCTCTTAGATCAGTTAGCCGACCTCTTCTCACATTTTGTCATCGCTATTCATATTAGTAGATGCAGATGTGTCCTGGGATTTCATATATTCCAGGTTGGGTGAGCAACGTCCAGTTGCAACATATTTCTCGGTTATCTTGTATCTGGCACTTATTTTCATTATTTTACATACGCATCAACATACATTCATACATATATATACATACATACATCATTTTTTATCATCATCATTTAACAAAAAAAAAAATCTTCTATCTTTTATCAACATCATTGCATAATTTCAATAATTTTGTTTTTTTTCGTTAAACATGTTGGCGGAGGGGGGAGGAACCTCGCTGCACGCGAGGTGCATGCCTATCATCTAACTCCATTGTCCATATACTCCTCTTACCTTCCCTCCCTTAATACCCATCACTTCCTCGATGGACGATCACTCACTTGAAGAAGCATTTTGGACTCAATATTCCATAACCTTCAACGTCTGCAGAGATACACAAGGGAATCCAGCCACCAGTCTGCACACAGGACAAGATGACGTACCTTAGACTGGCATCAAGTCGCATCAAGTGGCAAAAGAACGGACTTCATGAAGCGTCCATCTATATCTACAATCTTCAGATCCAGATCTTCAGCCTGACCCTGGCAGTATGTTCCGTACTACGGCACCACCGGCGGGGAAGCAGCGCGGGGGTCCCTTCCAGACCTCACCCGCCGCCCCGCGCGCCCTCACACCGCGACCTTCAGTTGCGCTTCAGCACTCCGCGCGCCGACACATCAATCATATTTGTCTATTTTGTACATCTTTGAATAGTTATTACAGATTCAAGATTACTTACATGTTGTTACATTACTACATCTTGTTTTCTATTTACATTTCTCTTTGTTATCGATAAACAACAATATTGAAAAGAGTTTCTTAATCGATAGGATTATTTTTGTAGAAAATGAGAAGAAAGAGATGGAAAAGTATGCTCCATCTCCATCGATTATATAATATGAAATGTTAGAATAAAAACTTAATTTATCATTTTGACACTCAATCGAAGTGGTCATACTATTACGCTAATTATTATTTTTGTTGACTGTGCGACTATAAAATATGAATAGACTGTAAAGAAATAATATGGCAATAGACATCTTCAAATGCTTGTGATCTATGCAACTGTACAAATATTTGG